ACAGTCTGATGATTCTTTATTTCTCTCCCTTCTTATTCCTCCTCCTCCCTCCTTCATATGTTGGGTGTTTTGTTCTGTGCTCTTTTTAGGAGTGCTCCCATCTAGAGCAGTCCCTGTAGGATGCCCTGTAGAGGTGGTTTGTGGGAGGCAAATTCCCTCAACTTTTGCTTGTCTGGGAATTGTTTAATCCCTCCTTAATATTTAAATGATAATCGTGCTGGATACAGTAGTCTTGGTTCAAGGCTCTTCTGTTTCACTGCATTAAGTATATCATGCCATTCTCTTCTGGCCTGTAGGGTTTCTGTTGAGAAGTCTGATGATAGCCTGATGGGAAATGCAAATAAAAACTAAAGGGTACACTGCCTCATACCCATTGGGATGGCTATTATCGAAAAACAAAAAATAGCAAGTGTTGGTGAGGTTGTGGAGAAATTAGAACCCTTGTGCACTGTTGGTGGGAGTATAAAATGGGACAGCCACTGTGGAAAACAGTATTGTAGTTCCTCAAAAAATTAAAAATATAATTATCATATGATCCAGCAATTATACTTTAAGGAATATATTCAAACAAAAAAGAAAGTAGGGTCTCAAAGAGATATTTGTGCACACCCATGTTCATAGGAGCATTTTTCACAATAGCTAAAACATGAAAGCAACACAGGAGTCCATTAACAGATGAATGGATAGGCAAAATATGGTAGATACACAATGGGATATTATACAACCCTAAAAGGGAAGGCAATTTTGCAATATGCTACAATATGGATAAACTTTGAGGGTATTATGCTAAATGACTTAAGCTAACCACAGAATCGCTATATGATTCCACTTACATGTGATACTTAGTCAAAATCATAGACAGAAAGTAGAATGGTGGTTGCCAGGGGCTTGGAAGTTCTTGTTGAAGGGCATAGAATTTCAGTTTTACAAGATGAAAATAATTATGAAGATGGATGGTGGTGCTGGTTGCAAACATACTGAATATATTTAATACAACTGAACTATATGATTAAAAATGATAAAGATTATAATTTTATGTTTTGTGTATTCTGCCACAATTATTAAAAACTGGAAAAAATTGATATTCAGGTGACAACTCAGGCTCACATGCATTTTCATTCATGCACATCAATCTCTGAGGTCCTGCAAACAATGAACCTGTGGGCCCTCAGACTTGAGGTCAGGTCCTGGGTCACATTCATCACTAATAAGTATCATCTATGAAGCTTTGTTGGCAATAACCTTGTAAACTTTTCCCTTTAGTGACTCTTGGCATTACCTACTGATTTCAGCTTATCTTTCTTTTTGGAATATCTGTGCTGAGTAATTCAGGAAGTATCACCAAATTTTTGCCAGTTATTAAAAATAACAGTTTCCAAATACAGTTGTTATTGTCTACATGTGCCACTAAAAAAATTAGCCAGGCTGGGCTAATCTCAGGCTAAGACTTCTAAACTGTTCAATCAGATCCTTTCGGGCAACTGGATTTTATGGGCTTGGGAAATTCTACTGACAGTATGCTAATGGCCCTAGAACCAGCTGGACTACAGAATTGAAGGAGGGTTCTTAATAATAAACTTAACAATTTATTGTCTTTCTGCATGCCAGGGACTATGCTGTTACACATATATTGTTTCATTCCATTCTTATCACAACTATAGAAAGCATGGTTATGGGTCATCAACTCCATCTGACAGATAAGGAAACTGTAGCTTAAAAATGTTTCATAGAATGGTTAGAAAGTGGCTGATCTGGAATGTGAATTGGAGTCTCGCTGACTCCAATGCTTGAGCTTTTAAGCATTGCATGAAATTGCCTTCTGTCAACTTTATCATGCATTGACTGGTTGAGTGGCATCAGTTGCTTTATTTAACAGTTAAAATCCCTATCTTCTAAGTTGATTTATGTCACGATAATAATACCAACAGGTAATGAAAATATGTTTGGGTATCATTCATTAATTTATTCAGTAAAGACTTTAAGTTCCTTCCATATAGCAGCCATTATGTAGATTCAAAGGAATACAGATGAAAAGATACAGTCCCTTCTCCCTAGAAGCCTGCGGTTTTGTGGGAAACAGGTACATAACCACACATGCACAATGCAATATGATCAATGCTATAACAGGAAGTTAGATTCTAAGGAAGCAATGAGGGGTATTACAGAAATGTGGTTATGATCTGACTTTTGAAGACTAGAGATTTTCCAGACAGATATGCAGGAAGAGAGAAAGATAAGGGTAATTTTCTGGGCAGAGGAAAGAGTGTGTGTAAAGAGTTGGGAGGCCCCAGCACCTCAGTATCACAGGAGTGCAAGTTACAGTGGGGAAGGGAGACACAGCATTTCAAGGAACCAAGAGGAAGAGATCATAGGCAACAAGTCAACTATATAAAATCTTGATTCACTCAACGCTCTTTTGAATAGGAATAGAAACCAAGTTGCAATAATGAAGTTTGACCTTTAAGTCTCTAGTGTCCATCCCCAAGTAATTACATTCATTGTCCCTATTAATTCATACTCTCAAGAAAGAGTATCTGACCAATCATTGGCTAATCGAGTGAGTCAGGTGTCCATCCCTCCGCTTCCTGGTAGGACGACCCAGAGGTGTGTGTGTGTGTGTGTGTGTACTGCAGGGAGGGAGGTTGCAGTCGACCCAGAGGTGTGCGGGGAGGAAGGTTGCAGTGGAACTTTTCAAGGTTGGGATTCCATGGTAGGGTTATCATCCTAGGTACAATGGAGGGGAAAGTTTCCCTAGGAAGTCTGTGAGTGAGAAAGGCAATGAATTGATTTATTACACAACACTGTGGGCAATGGAGAACAAGTCTGGATTTGCAGAAAGCAAGAGGAAAAACAATCCATTAAAACAAAATTATCATTTTGATATTTGAGGCAACTCTCATGGCTCCAAAATATAACCACTATAGGCTACATAATTAGAATGTTTTTGCATTGCTGATTCTAAATTATTTAAAAATCAGTATGTACAGGAATTATTTCACAAATTAAATATTAACCTAAACATCTTCTTACCCTTAACCGTGGCAGAGAGGCTGGCTGTAAACAGCAGAGCCATTAGGCAAAAGTGATTGATTCCTTGAGTGACTGCATGGAACAGAGAACACCCTCACCCTCATTCACATTGGACAGTAACATAAATAAGAAATTTATCTTTATCAGGCAACTAAGATTGGAGATAGTTTGTTAAAGGAACTAGGGTTGCTGCCTTAGAAAATGCAAGCAGAAATCATGTGCACCTTTTGTAGGCTTGGCCTATGCAGGGCATTCCCCAAATCTGCAAAGAAAGGAGCTACCCACTCTGTAAGTCTGGCGCCCTGAACAACTGTGTGGAAAAGTGTTCCTGCTAATTTCTTCACAGCACAGTACTGTTATGTGCATAACAAATGAGTTTCTAATATGTTTAATTATACATTTTGGGGTTTATTGCTACCACTTTTTCCTACCCTAAGTGGCAAGCAACCACTCTGGATAAATGAGAATTTATCATGTACTATCCTTAATTTTGTATCTCTTCTAAGGTAATACTGGAATAAAGAAATGGTGCTCATAAAGAGATGTGAAAAAGTTTAAAGTGAGTTTTCAAAAATATCTGTGCATAAGCATTTTTCTTTAATTAACTACAGTAAGCTTTTCCTCAATGCTCCCAACTCTGTGTATATGAAAAAGCTAAAAAGAATTGTCATATTTTCCTGTGTTGTCCATAGGATTAAAAAAATAAGTAGTATAAGTTCTTATTGCTTTGATATTTTGTATTTCATGTATTTTACTGAATTTCTCTAAAATTGCATATAAGAATCTTTCCCTTCTTACATATTTATAGACTGAGTTGAGTTGAAGACAGCTCTACTTCTTACATAAACTTGTTGCTTAATAAAGTATGCAGTCTTACATATGGAAACTTCAGAATTCACAAAATGGATAAATAGGACCAAAAAGAAACAGTCACATCCCATTTTAGGGAAATACATAGTGAATTATGGAATAAAACATTTAAGACTGGTATGTTGGTATGTTGGAAGAAGGCTTCTCTCTTTAATCATCCTCGATGATGCATTTTTCAAGTTACCTTCTTGATTGCATGTTATCTTCTTAGTTTTTCTTCCTCCAAATATATCTTTTCAGTATACATAGCATTACAGATATTGGAAATATTTCTGCTTGGGAATGGCTGTAAATGACACACGCTAGTAGAGAACATATGCTGTTAAATGTGTGAGGTTCTGAAACAATATACAGAAAACACTATAGTAAGAAAGCAGACCGCTCTATTTCCAATTCAAAATACTTCATAGTTTTTAATGTTATGTTCCTTGCATCATGCAGTATGAGAAAAAATACGTGAAGTTCAGAGTGCTGACTTTATTTTTTAGGGCCCAGAGAATAATGTTTATGTGAAAAAACTATGTAACAATAATAATGAATTTATTCTATAATGCATATGAAACATATAACATCAAACTTTAATCAGTTTATATGTGAAAAACCTGACGCTAGTAAAAACAGAATTTTCTCATATAATTCCTTAAGAATTGCCTACACATTTCATTAAAGACTATTTTTATTCTCTTCACAGTATTTTCCTCTTTAAAAAAGTTTCACTTTATGTTTTCCCTGTTTTTTTCCGATTTTAAAATTACTATACTTTAAAAATCTATTTCTTATTGGCAATATAAATAATTTTGTGCTTTTCAAAGACACCAATGTCATGTTCCAGTTGCTTCATTTCTTGTTCCAGCTTCTGCTTGCGAATCTTCTTTGGTATCGAGTCAATGAAGACAGAGAGAGACTGAAACACTTTATGTACCTCTTCCCAGTTCTTTTTCAGCCCCTGAAAATGGGAAATAACACTCTAAATACTAAAGTAAACTTTAAAAGTGAAGTAAACTGTAAAAGTAAGGTAAATAGTAAAGAAAACTATATTGGTGATGGAAAATCTAAAAAGCCAAAAAAAAAAAATCCTGATGAAAATAACTTTAAAAAGTGATACATATTAATCAAGTAGTTGGCCACAGTAACAAAATATATTGTACAGAGGCCAAACCCTGTCCTTGATTGTGTGTTCAATTCCCATTGGGAGTATTTTTTGCTCTGTTTTTAATGTTACTGTACTTGTTTTTACCATCAAATACTCTTTGCAGAATTATGAGTAGTATGAAACTAAGCTTGCAGCAAATGCTCTGGTGAAAAACAACTTACAAGTATACCCCCCAAACAAAAACATTTTTTAATAGAAAATCATTTCCTATAAAATTTTTAGGTTTTTTCCTTTAGAATTTTCTTTTTTAAACCATTATCCCATTCTTCAACAGAGAAATCATACCAAAAGAGTTGATTCTGACTCCTGTGGCCATGTTTTCTTATATTAGATCAAATGGAATTGCACAAAACGCCAAAACTCAATTTAACAAGAGATGATCTTTTATGTATCTTTTCAATATATTAGAAAGAACTCTTCATATAGTCAAGGGATCGACACTTCCCACTAATGTATTCCAGAAATAATAGAAATGTCATTAAATGTAACACACATGCTAATTCAATAAAGTAGTTACTGTTTTATAGTGTCAGAAACTAACAAATTCAAAATTAGGGATATCTTAGGAGCAATAAAGGTTATTTCCACCTCTCCGTAGTTTCCATTTCTTATCCCAGTGCGTTACAGGTCCATTGACAAAATGGTCTTAAACTCCTAATTGAATTCATGCAATAGAATTTGAAAAATTAACACTCTCTATTACTCATTATGGGCACCCAGATCATTTTATTTACACAAAAGCTATAAGTAGAATTTAACATACTACCTTGAAAATATGGTCCTTGAAATCAATGGTCATACCTTTATGTTTAAGAGATTAGATGTGTTATATAATAATGCTTTCAAAATAAGCCCTCATAGTACAAATTTAACCTTAAGAAACTTTCTGAGGACAATAATTTCAATGATCGATTTCCATGCTTAGGTAAAAATGGTAAGATAGGGCACACTGTTAGAATAGATTGGCGGAGGAAAAGGGCAACAAATTTTGAACCCTGAGTGAGACTATTTCAAAGATTTGGGAAAGGGAAAAGATAAAAAAAATACCCAGGTTAAATTTTTTAAAGAGGGAGATGGGTTAACAGTTCTTAACAGTGTGTGAGATGTATTCCAAAAAGAAGTCCTCAAAGAATTTTTTTCCATAAATTTCATTATGAAATGGGAAATATGCTCCCACAGTGCTCCACAGGGGTGCTTATTGCAGAGAGGCAATCTATAAATTTATATACTTTCAAATATCAAAGGTTTCTCTTAGCTTCGTGGGTGATATTTCCATATTACTTGTAGTGACAGCCGCTTTTCCTCTGTAGCCTTTATCTTTTAAAGGATAGTTTGCTTTATCTTCCAGAGTGCACAGAAACGTTTGGGTCAAAGTCGACAGTGAGGGATAGGAACTAAATGTGACAAATTTCATACTATATTGAAATAACTTCCTTGCTGTTTTTAAGACTTTTTATTTTATCTAAAAAATCTTTTACCCACTGCAACAATGATATTCCCTTATTTTTTATTGACTTTTCTATTTCAATGCTTAAATAATATTGTTAATTTTTGAAAACTTCAAATACAGAGAATTGGTTATAAAATAAATAAGAAGTACCTTCAGTTCCATGCTCCTTTGGCACCCACCCCCAATCTATTCTTCACCTTCTTATCCTGCTCTATGACTAGGGGCAGAGGGATGGGGTGGGAGGGGGATAGAGGTTAATTCCTGAGGGCTGGTCCCCTCCCCCAGCTCCTTTGCCCTCTAGCTTCTGCTTGAGTCCAGCACTAGTGGGAGAAGAGAGAAGTTTGGGTATTTCCTTCTTCTCTTCCTTGACATTCCCTGGACACTAGCTCTGGCTCATCCACCTGTAACTACAACACTGGGAAGGCTCCAGTAACACTCTTTCTTGCCCCTGCCCTTCAAGCCTAGGGTGGTGGTGGATTCCCACTGTCCTTAGTCCTGAGGAGCCTCAGTGCTCTCTGTTGGTTCCTTTAGCTCTGCTTCACATCTGTAAATAGTTTCTCCATAAATTCTTTTCAGAATCCCAGCTGAGTGTGCCTTCTGTTTCCTGCGGAATCCCAGACTGATAGAGCTTCCTTTTGTTACCTCCTGTGCACGTGTTAAAATATAATGGGAAAAGACTGGCCTGGGAACTGGTCCACCTTGAGTTTTAGTCCTTCTTCAGCTACTTGATAATTTTGAAACCAAGGGCAAATGTAAACCAAATTAAAGCTCACTGACAGTAATGACTGCATTTAATTTCAATGATCGATTTCCATGCTTAGGTAAAAATGGTAAGATAGGGCACACTGTTAGAATAGATTGGCGGAGGAAAAGGGCAACAAATTTTGAACCCTGAGTGAGACTATTTCAAAGATTTGGGAAAGGGAAAAGATAAAAAAAATACCCAGGTTAAATTTTTTAAAGAGGGAGATGGGTTAACAGTTCTTAACAGTGTGTGAGATGTATTCCAAAAAGAAGTCCTCAAAGAATTTTTTTCCATAAATTTCATTATGAAATGGGAAATATGCTCCCACAGTGCTCCACAGGGGTGCTTATTGCAGAGAGGCAATCTATAAATTTATATACTTTCAAATATCAAAGGTTTCTCTTAGCTTCGTGGGTGATATTTCCATATTACTTGTAGTGACAGCCGCTTTTCCTCTGTAGCCTTTATCTTTTAAAGGATAGTTTGCTTTATCTTCCAGAGTGCACAGAAACGTTTGGGTCAAAGTCGACAGTGAGGGATAGGAACTAAATGTGACAAATTTCATACTATATTGAAATAACTTCCTTGCTGTTTTTAAGACTTTTTATTTTATCTAAAAAATCTTTTACCCACTGCAACAATGATATTCCCTTATTTTTTATTGACTTTTCTATTTCAATGCTTAAATAATATTGTTAATTTTTGAAAACTTCAAATACAGAGAATTGGTTATAAAATAAATAAGAAGTACCTTCAGTTCCATGCTCCTTTGGCACCCACCCCCAATCTATTCTTCACCTTCTTATCCTGCTCTATGACTAGGGGCAGAGGGATGGGGTGGGAGGGGGATAGAGGTTAATTCCTGAGGGCTGGTCCCCTCCCCCAGCTCCTTTGCCCTCTAGCTTCTGCTTGAGTCCAGCACTAGTGGGAGAAGAGAGAAGTTTGGGTATTTCCTTCTTCTCTTCCTTGACATTCCCTGGACACTAGCTCTGGCTCATCCACCTGTAACTACAACACTAGGAAGGCTCCAGTAACACTCTTTCTTGCCCCTGCCCTTCAAGCCTAGGGTGGTGGTGGATTCCCACTGTCCTTAGTCCTGAGGAGCCTCAGTGCTCTCTGTTGGTTCCTTTAGCTCTGCTTCACATCTGTAAATAGTTTCTCCATAAATTCTTTTCAGAATCCCAGCTGAGTGTGCCTTCTGTTTCCTGCGGAATCCCAGACTGATAGAGCTTCCTTTTGTTACCTCCTGTGCACGTGTTAAAATATAATGGGAAAAGACTGGCCTGGGAACTGGTCCACCTTGAGTTTTAGTCCTTCTTCAGCTACTTGATAATTTTGAAACCAAGGGCAAATGTAAACCAAATTAAAGCTCACTGACAGTAATGACTGCATTTATTTGCTCACAACTGTGTCTCCCAGGCTAGGTACAGTGCCTAGAATACAGTAGATGTTCATAAATGAATGAATGAACAAATGAACCACTTAATGTATCCTCATCTGTAAAATGAGAAGTATGGAATTACTAGAACATATGATCCTTTACAAGTATAATGATACTTAAAAAGAATGAGCAGAATGTGGCCTTCTCAGGGACATACAACCATCTTGTCATAGAATTATATGCAACTCTTTACCAGGGAGGCAAGTATGGTTCTGGGCTTGTCAGGAGCATAGCTAGTAGCTTTGTTACCATGGCAGCTATACTCTCTGGCTAATAAAGCATCCAAGGGAGGATTGCTGTTGTCACATCAAAGGGTATGCAAAGAAACTCTGCAGTGACTATATTAGGAAGCTGAGGACTTCTTGTTGACTCCCGTCAAAAAGGCACAGGGTAGGGAAGAGCCTTTTCCTTCTGAGTGAGTTTTTTTTCTCTTTTCCTATTTTTTTAAAACTGAAGTATAACTGACATATAACATTGTATTAGTTTCAGGTATACAATATATTGATTCAATATTTGTATACATTGTGAAATAATCAGTACAAGTCTAGCTACCATCAGTCACCATACCAAGTTACAAACTTTTGTTCTTATAAGATCTCTCATAGCAACTTTCAAATATGCAATACAATATTATTGACTATAGTCACCATGCTGTACATTAAATCCCCATGACTTATTTATGTTACAACTGGAAGTTGGTACCTTTTGATGCCTTTCATCCATTTCACCCAACCCCCCAACCCACTCACCTTAGGCAACCACCAATCTGGTCTCTGTATTAGTAGGTTATGTTTTGTTTGTTTATTTGTGTGCCTTTTAGATTCTACAAAAAAAAATGAAATCATACAGTATTTGTCTTTGTCTACATAACTTATTTCACTTAGCATAATACCTTCTTGGTCCATCCATGTTGGTGCAAATGTCAAGATTTCCTTCTTTTTATGGCTGAGTAGTATTCTCTTATTAATCCATTCACCCATTGATTGCTTCTATATCTTGACTATTCTAAGTAATGCTGCAGTGAACATGAGGATGGATATATCTTTTCAAATCCATGTTTTTCTTTTCTTTGGTTAAACATACAGAAGTGGAATTGATGGATCATACAGTAGTTCTATTTTTAACTTTTTGAGTAACTTCCATAATGTTTTCCATAATGGCTGCACCATTTTACATTCCTACCAACAGTGCAGGGAAGTCCCTTTTCTTCACAGTATTGCCAACACATATTTCTTGTCTTTTTGAAAATAGTAATTCTGATAGATGTGAATTGATATCTCATTGTGGTTTTGATTTGCATTTCTCTGATGACTAGTGATGTTGAGCATCTTTTCATGTGCCTGCTGACCATCTGTATGTCTTCTTTGGAAAATGTCTATTCAGATCCTCTGTCCATTTTTAAATCAGATTTTTTTTATTGAATTGTGTGGGTTCTTTATATATTTTGGTGATCAGTCCCATTTCGGATATATGATTTGCAAATATCTTTTCCACTCAGTAGGCTGCCTTTTCATTTTGTTGTTGGTTTCCTTCTCTGTGCAGAAGCACTTTTTTTCCTTCTCTATGAAGAAGCTTGATGTGTCCCACTTGTTTATTTCTTCTTTTAGTGCCCTTGCCTTTGGAGTCAGATCCAAAAATCTTTGCAAAGATCAATGTCAAGGAGCTTACTATCTATGTTTTCTTCTAGGAGTTTTATGGTTCCAGATTTTGCATTCAAGTCTTTAGTCCATTTTAGTTAATTTTTGTATATGGCATAAGATAGTGGTCCAGTTTCATTCTTTTGCATGTGGTTGTCCAGTTTTCCCAACACTATTTACTGAAGAGATGGTTCCCTTTCCCTATTGTATTGTATATTGTTGCTCCCTTTGTCATTAATTAACTATATATGTGTGGGTTTATTGATCTCTTTTGTGTTCCATTTATCTGTGTGTCTGTTTTTATACCAATATCTTAGAATTTCAATTACTATATCTTTGAGCATAGTTTAAAATCACAGACTATGATACCTCCAGCTTTGTTTTCTTCTTTTGTAAGATTGCTTTGGCTATTCAGGATCTTTTGTGGTTCCACACAAATTTTAGGATTATTTGTTCTATTTCTGTGAAAAATGCCATTAGAATTTTGCTAGAGATTGAATTGAATCTGTAGATAGGTTTGGGTAATATAGACATTTTAACAATATTAATTCTTCAGTACATGAGCATGGAATATCTTTCCATTTATTTGCATCATCTTTAATTTCTTTCATTAATGTCTTATAGTTTTCAGTGTATAGGTCTTTCACCTCCTTGGCTACATTTATTTCTAGATATTTTATTCCTTTTGATGCAATTGTAAATGGGACTGTTTTCTTAATTTCTCTTTCTGTTTCTCTAATTCATTCTCAGTGTATAAAAATGCAACTGGTTTTTGTATATGGTTTGTACCCCACAACTTTACTGAATTCATTTATTAGTCCTAACAGTTTTTTGGTGGAGTCTTTATAAGATTTCTACATCTAAAATCATTCTGATCTTTATTATTTCTTGGTTTTTATTTTTATTACCAACTTTGGGATTCATTTGTTCTTCTTTTTCCAGTTCATTTTTGCGTAGTTAGATTGCTTATTTGAGATTTTTCTTGTTTCTTGAGGTAGGCCAGATTTACTATAAAGTTCCCTCTAAGAACTGCTTTTGCTGCATCCAATTGATTTTTGGATGCTGTATTTCTATTTTCATTTGTCTCAAGGTATTTTTTTCATTTCTCTTTTGATTTTTTTTGTTGATCCTTTGGTTGTTCAGTAGCATGTTGTTTAACCACCACATTTTTTTATTGTTCCTTTTTTGTAATTGATTTCTTTCATACCGTGTGTTCAGAAAAGATGCCTGATACGATTTCAATCTTCTTAAATTTATTTAGACTTATTTTGTGGCCTAACATATGATCTATTCTGGACAGTGTTCCAAGTGTACTTGAGAAGAATGTATTCTGATGCTTTTGATGGAATATTCTGTATATACCTATTGAGTGTGCTGTTGAAGGCCAATGTTTCCTTATTAATTTTCTGCCTGTTGATGATCTAGCCATTGGTGTCTTTTTCTGTTCTTCAACATCATTTAGATATATATAAATCTGGTTTTAACAAAAGTATATATTGTCTAAAACTGGTAGAATCCAAACTGGAGGTCAGCAGGGAATGGGCCAAAGACTAGTACTCTTCCTGAAAGTGACTTATAAACCCCACCTCTATAGCTGCCAGCTTTCTTGCCTCCCTGTCTTCCTTTCTTCTTCCCAGCACATCATTATAATATGTATGTTTATACTGGGCACTGGGTTAGGCACTAGGGAGACTGTTGTCAACAAAGAGACACAGTTCTTGTCCTTATGCCAGTTCTGCTGTCTGGAATACCTTCTTACTCTGCAATTTAAAGCCCAGCTAAGACCTACCTATGTCCTTCAAATGGATACTTGTACCATGGAACCTTATAAATGTATGAGCTGTACACATGTGCACTTATAATATATATATATGTAGCACCTATCATCAATTAAATTACAACATTATGGCAGGAATTTTATCTTATGCACTTTTTAATATCCTCAGGGCTTAGCATGATACTCATATTTATTAAAGATTATAATGACACTGATAAAATGTTAAGAATTTTTAACAAAATATGAATCCATTTTTCAATAAAAATTAATGCAGTAAAAATTTTTTTTCTGTTTTTGAAGGGTTATTAGAAATAGCTTTGTGCAAAGATTTCAAAAATAACAAAGAATAAAGTACTTTTTTTATTCTATAAAAGACAGCATGACTATAGAAGAATATAAATGCTTAATACTCTCTAAAGATGACAGAGCAACCCTGCTCACAACCCCTAATTTTAAATGTTTTAGCTAAAAGTCTTGCATTAATAACTCCAATGTAAATATGTCTTAAAATCTATTTTATTCAAAATAAGGAAAATGTATGTAAAACTGAACACCTGGTTATTTAATTAAAATTTAGACATTTAGCTTATAGCAGAGAAAAAAAAATGTTGGTCCAGAGACACAGTTTCAATTATTCTAGAGCTCCATCTAGTGAAAAATATCTATTTTATGAATATTGTCCTTTGAAAATTCATGGACACAAGAATGAAAATAAAAATGCTTTCTCTATTTATGCATGTTTATTGAAGAAGAAAGTAGGCTTTCTTATAACACTAACTACTTCAGGAAAAAACAGAAGCTTACCAAATTAGCAACAAAATAATATCAATAATACATATATTACGTCTTTTTGCTCTCCCTGAAGAGTCAGTCTGCTGCACAGAGTTGTCACCATCTCCAAAATAAGAGTGTGCTGATTTCAAAGTCAAAGTGCTGGCTTAGGTAGTTGTTGATGGTGGACCTCTCTTTCAGAGATGTTCTGAAGAGTTACTTTGAGTATAAATTACAGAACACTTACCTGCAGAACTGCCTCTCTTTCTTCATCAGAGAGCCTTTTCATAGCTGCTTTCCTGAGGTTTTCCTGGATATAGTTATCATATTCTTCTTGGGCTTTCTTTACTTCTTCATTTCGCTTACATATATATTCAGGCGTGACACCATAATCCTTGCAAGGATTTTTCAGAAAAAAAAAAATCAATATTCTGAATGCAGTCTTATATATGTGTCCATACAACCAACGACTGGGAGTAAAAGAAATGTTATGGGCTTAAAGCCTTTGCTCAAAATTGCAAACTGACAAACTTCAATGATGTTTTTTCCCCATTGGGAACTAGTTTATTCTGGTCTTTGAAAATCACCTGCGCTGTTATTGTGGCCACTTGTTTTCCCTCTTCCCTGCATGTTTCCAGCACCTGACCTTGGCTCATAACTCAGCCCTTTTTTTGTCCCTAAGAGTTGCCTTTTCTTTATTTATTTTAGATACATCAGCTTTTACCTTGAAATATCTTGAGGTCTCTTTTGCATTGTCTTGCTAAATAAAAGAAGATACATGTTTTCCAAGGCATTATAAAAACAAAATCTTAAAGAAACTAAGCATATCTGCTTTAAGAGAAAATTGAATTGGGACCTTAAGGTTATTTTTGGAAATACAAAATACACTTAGGCTTCTGGGCTACTTTCAAGGACTGACAGTGAAGCAGTCTGCTGTGATTCTTTCAGGTTAGTGAATGATATCACTGCATACAGAAATAGAACTACCCCTTGTTTATTCTTCAAAAAATTACTTGAGAATGTACTTGGTACTCACTATACTAGTGAGTAAGAAAGCAACGCAAAGTTTCTGTCCTCATAGAATGTACATTCAACAGTGAAAGAAATTCACCAAAAGCAGAGTATAAAATAATACACATATAAGGGCTCCCAAGTAAAATAAAGGCCAATAAGGGAAAATAAAATAATAGATAAGGAGATCAGGGGAGACCTCTCTGAGGAAGCAGCTGTTGAGAGATATGATAGTCATTAAAACTGTGCACAATGTTCTGGTTCTTCTTCTAGATGCTTGGTAAAACAACACTTTCCTGCTTCCCTTGAAGTAAGGTGTAGCCATGTCACCTGAGTAGAAGTGACCTCTATCCTTTTTGGTAGAAGTCTAGGAATTAATGGATGACTTGTCATGTTCTTTTTCTCTGGAATAGTGATGCTTGGTATTTTGGGTTGTCTGGGTCCTGGGATGAGGACAAGAAGCAGAGCTTCTAACAACCCTCAGTGGACATGTACTACAAGCAAACAATAAAACTTACTTGCTTTTAGTTATGGAAATTTGGGAACCATTTGTTATCACAGCATAAACTCACTCATCCTGACTGAACAAGTGACAGAAGCTCTAGCTATAAATGTGTTCTGGTAAAGTACAAATAAACTAAAAAAGTACAGTGCAGTGGTAAACAGTCTAATCTGTTTCTGGAAACACTGAGGGCTATACCTCATTATGGCTCAGTGCAGTTACTGATGTTCATAATAATGGTTCTGCATCATCACAAAAAGAATATATTTGGCATACTCTTTAATAGAGTGATGTGATATATTTTCAGAAAAAGAACTATCCCACAAAAGGGTAAAAGCTTCATTGGTCAGGATTCAGAAGCCTGAAATGACTTTATGTGCTATGAGCTCCTGGACCCTGCTAACGTCTTGCAAAGGTATGTTAAGGAGTGCTCTCTGCCAGCAGCCGTGACATTCCTGTCGTGATTCTCTGCAGGCATTGGATTTATTACAGTAGATCACAGACTGTCTCACAGTTAGTAGTCCATCTCACATCACTACTGCAGTTTCTTTTTTTCTTTTCCTTGCTTTCTTCTTTCTTTTTTTGCCACAACTTATTATGAATTATTATTTTTTAGGGTTTTGCACTCAGATTTTACTATGTGTGGCTCAAGTACTTTTATGCTGTATACTGAGGTTTTGTAGGAGTACTTTTTGGCAGGCTTTGAAAATTTTAAAGATCTCTATTAAAAAATTAAATCTAAGCTTTTATAATTTAAAAATTTTGAAATATATTGAAATTTATATAATTTTGAAATTATAGAAGCTAATATGAAATTATATAGCTGTCTGATAAACACCTCTTCAGATAGAAATGAAGGTCCCTAAACGACTAGATTATTGTATAGTGCCTTCAAATACTAACTAAAAACAAATTAACCTATTCAAGTTGCAACAGTAATAAGTATTTTTTAATACTATATTGATAGGATGGATAGTTTTAAAGTGTTTTTCTCTTCATTTCTCCCATTCTGCTAACCAAGATACTGCAACTTAATGACTAAATTGGAGGATCTTCTGAAAGGTTATTCCTTCTACATTTATAGTAATTTCTGTGCTTTTAGTAACATTTCCACCCTCACCAAAAATTAATATCTTTCAGAGAATGTTATTACTGTTATATTATTAACTGAAATTAAGAAAAACAATTAGTTTTCTTCTACTGAACTCTATGGTGTTGCTCATCCTCAAATCTCTGAAATTTCATCACAGTAGATTTGGACCAAACACAGATTGCAGAGGAATGAGAATTGGCAACCTAGATCATTTGTCCAGTACGACACTGTTAATGATAATAGTTGCAATTGTTAAGAACACTATACTTAAATTATTTCAATCTCAGGTCTCTCATTAATGTATCACAAGGTTACCTTTTTGTTGATGTACTTTGGAACTAGTCCTGATGTTTCAAGATCATGTTTGTCGCCAGTTCTTTTGTCAACATAAATTGGTTTAGGCTTTTTCGCCACTCCCATGATGACATCAGCCACATTGGTATTTATGAAATTTTTTCCACTCTGTATTCCCATGACTGGATGATCAGTCCTCAGTGGCACAGGAGGCTTCTTGGGCTCATTCCGGTCAAACTTTTCTTCTGTTAAACATAATGTTTTGTTAATATTAAACTATAAACATTCTACTTAGTACTATTTATAAGATCCAGGTATTTTAACATTCCATGTATTGGAGTTTTATTAAAACTATTTTTGAATATTTAAAGCATAAACATCAATACTCATAATGCAAAAATTAAGTGCACCATAATCAACTAATATGTTAAAGACAAGTATAAAAATTTAAGGGAAGAAGATAAGCACTAAAAATCATATGCTAGGAAACTAATACATTTTTACCGGCTGTTGTGAAATATTTTCTTATAAAGATTTCAAAAACATATGTCAGCTTTCCCATTGAAAAAAAGCCCAAGAAATATGAAAACCCTTTTCTGAGTATCATCAATATTACTAATAATTGCTTTTCAGAACAAATTTACTGTAAAATCACCAAATAAAAAAAAAAATGTACTGAAGTCCAAGAATCTATGGATTTTTTTCTCTAAAATTTATTAGTACAAGGTATAAAAATCATGTAACAGTTATATATCCAACATGCAGAAACTTAACAAATAAAACATTAAAAATACAGCTGAAGTTTCCTATTTACTTCTCCCTGATTGCATCTCACCTACTAAAATAACTACTATCTAGAATTTATCTTATTTATTCTCTATACTACATTATCTTCATTAGCAGCAGATGAAACTGACCATTTCTACACAGCCTCTTAAACTTAACCATTGTGATTCATCCATTTTGATATCAAAATGGTTTGTCAAATGCTTAAATGTAAAATAATTATGATTTATTTCCAAGAACCAAAATCAACAGCTATCTTAACAAACCTAACTAAAATCTTAACCCCATCAAAATTACTAGAGACTTTGGCTTCATTCACTTCTGCACTGTTTGAACTTCCTGTGAGTTTATGTAACTTTTATCATCAGAAAAAAAACCAGTATTTACTATTAAGAGTCTATGGACTCGATTGACCTCATTATAGGCTGAATTGTGTCCCTAATATTCATATGTTGAAGCCCTAATCCCCAGCACCTCAGAATGTGACTGTGTTTGACACAGGATCTTTAAAGAGGCAATTAAGTTAAAATGAGGTCATTAGAGTGGGTCTTAATCCAATATGACTGACATCCTTATGAGAGAAGGAAATCTGGACACAGACACATAGAGGGACAATCATGTGAAGAGATAGAGAAAAGACTGCCACCTACAAGCAAGGAAGGGAGTCCTCAGAAGAAACCAACCCTGACAACACCTTGATCTTGGACTCTAGCCCTCAGAATTGACAAAACAAATTTATGTTTAAGCTACCCAGTCTTGATACTTCACTATGGCAGCCCAAGCAACCCAAGACATCTCTGATATTACAAAGGAGTTTTTAAGTTTTAAAACATTATAAGGGAATATACATTTATCCACTACACGATGTACTTTTATTGAACAAATACTATGTCCAGACTGTAAGGCTGGAGGCACCGGAGGAAGGGGTGAGCACGTCGGACACTGATGACTTGCCAAAGTCCCCCGCTGCTGCCCCCTCCCAACCTGAAAAAGGTGCCTTAGGCTAGCCGATCCTCACACCGCTGTAAATCTAAGCTCTGCCTCCCCCTACCTTCTTTAAAAACTTGCTGCCTGCCCTGCTGGGCGCGACTTCTCCGGCCTGTGACTAATCAGACCTGCGAACATTGCCCAAGATTGCGCCCTATTAAACTTTTCGCTCCTTTGTAGCCTCCTCGCCTGGTCATTTCGGCTCAATTTTACCTTACACAGAGGTAATGCTCTGGGAACTGTGGATACAGACATGAACAAAAGAAACGTTTCTGTTCTCATGGAGTTTACATTACAGTGGGGGAAGAAAAAAATAAAATTTAATATGTAGAATACAGTATATATTGGTTGAACTATATATGAAATTGTTTATTGTTTTTGATCTACAAAAATGGTATCTTCTTCCTATTTTACATATTACTGAGATGACATGAGCATCGTTAGAAATTAAACTATGGCGTTCCTACAAAGCCTAGGTCAGAGAATAAGAACTCATTGTCACAACCCAAATAGCTTCCTTCTACCAGATACACCCAACCAAATATGGTTTGCATAAAAAGCCACAGGTATCTGTCCTCTAAATGTTCACATGGAAAATATTCAGAAGCCAAATTTAATTATGAATTCAAAGTGCATGCAAATGACTCCTGTAGCTATAAGGGAATCTATGCCTTTACAAATACATTTAAGAGATGAAACTGAATTCTTAGAAAATGAGGAAATAGTATAGAAAGATGGACATTTCATTCTTAGGAGTGAGTAAGTAAATTACAACTGTTGGTTGTTCATGGCTATCCACTGGACATCCACATGCCCTGTCTCCTGGCATCAAGAAAATAATGCATCATCTCAAGCCCATTTAGGGAGTACCTTTTGACAAAAGTAAAATTACTTCACCTAAAGACCACCCCTGCCTTTTCCTTCTGGTCCATCTATCTAAACATCCCCTGGTCTCTTATCTCAGGAATAGGGGTTGACAACGGGGTGAGGCTCAGAAAATAAGGTGAGGATGTCTCTTCACAAATTATTTGGTGGTAGTGATGACAGTTCTCAAAAAAAAATGGTTTGGGTTTTTTTTAGGCTATTCTATATATCATAATGGCAATGCCAACACAGCCTTGTAGTCATGCAGATGTTCTATTAATTGAATTTAGAGAAATGTTCATGAATCTGTTAAGTATTTTTCAGTGTGTGCAGCAAATTACTGTCTTCAAAATGGCAGGATATTCAAAGAGATGGTTATCTTTAATTTTGTCCCCTGGGGCTGGGCCTTTAAAGTTCTTACTTATTTTTAAGGCCATGAAATTTTGTATTTGTTTTGCCTTATACTGTTTATAAGAGGTGAGATAGGCTTCTGGCCTTTTCCCTTTTTTGATGCTTAGGATATATATAATTTGGTAGTTGTGTTATATAATAGGCTTAACCCTAGAGAGGATTCATGAGGACTCATGTAATATCACTGTTCCTAAGACACTGAAAGAATTGAATTCCATCTTAAGCTTTTTCCAGTGTTCTCAAGTGGTTGGAGTCACAACATACCAAGACTCTACTTAAGGATGACACAAGAGAGACTTGAGGATGCGAGTTTATGATTGAATTGTTGTGTTTTCAGACCTGCTTCTTTCGTCTTTCCTGATTATGCCCTCATCCTCTGCCATGGCATGTGAGTTATGAGAGAGGAACGTGGAACATCAGATATTGCCACAGATAATAGTTTTACTTTGTCAAAACTGCACCTAGCTGGGCTTGAGATGCTACATTATTTCTTTGATGCAAGAAGACATTAAAAGGCTAACTTTTTTAAAGAGATAGACTCACTTCTCAGTTTATTGTCCTGAAACATCAGGGAAGACATACCCAGGATGGGAAGAAGCTGCTTCCTTGCATACCTGTTGGAGATATTTTTTCATCCACTCTCCATTTTCCTAATAACCTTCCTTCTCAATATTTATATAGCTTAGGACCATGATTAATTACATAATATGTGAGCTCCAGTACAAAGTGAAAACTTGGGGCTCCTTAATCAAAAACTAAGACTTTCAAGATAGTAAAAAACAGAGCATTAAACCAAGATGGGAACTTTCTAAACTACGGGGCCCTGGGTGACTACACAGGCAGCATTTACAAGAAGCTGGCTCTGTCTACCGCACATGCATGAAGGCTCTTCCGTTACCTCTTACTCATTTACTGTCTGAATGGTCTGAGAGATCTGTGAGAGTTAAAGCCCACACTCAAGCTTGGAAATTGCTTCAGTACCTGGTAGGAACAATTGCAATTCTTATTTCTTGGAGAAAAGACCAGACAGGGTTTAGATGCCAGCCAATCTGGACCACTGGGTTTAGAACTCTTCTTATTAATTGCTGTTTGGTATCGAAGTTATATGACTAGTGACTAAGATGGTGAGACACGTGGTGCTGGAGGAGGAACTTTCTTGGATAGCCCAAGATGTAGGTCATGATGCTTGCTCCATCAAAAGAAAAATCAATTTGGGGGCTACTAGCATTCTCCACTCTCTTGTTTACATTTCCTGCTTCTACTTTCTCCTAGCCTTTCAAATTCTGTTTAGTATGAGGTGAAGTTATCACCTGTGAACATTTCATATCTATAGATGTTATAATAATTTTAGTTATTTATTAACACTTTTAATATTAAAAAGAGTGATAAAACCTACTGGGTGGTAGAGTTTTTTCCTTTGAATGTTTCTTCAGGAAATCCTTCGGAGAAGGTACTTCAACTTTTGCTGGTCCCATAGTTTTCATTGCAGTCTTAAATTTTTGCATGTCGCCTTTTACAGCTGTCTTAAAAATGGATATGTACCTAAAATTGAAAAAAGTAGCATTTATATTTCTCATAAAAATTATTTGAAGTTTAAAAAGAGATCTACATTTCTAATGTATAAGTCTATGTTCGTTCAGAGATAGCCATAAAGTATAGTTATCTAAGCCCTGTCTATCAGGCTCAGGCAAACTAGATGGAAGCTTTGTCCCACAAAAAAGGTGCCAGGGTAAAGATATTCATCATATTTTCTTATTATCCTTTCAATATCTGTAACATTGATAATGCTATCACCTCTTCCATTCTTGATATTGGTAGCTAATTTGTTCTCTCTCTCTCTCTCTCTCTCTTGCTTTAGCTGATCAGTCTGGCTAGAGGGTACCCTCCACCACATGACTGAAAGGGAAAAGTCCCTTCTGAATATCCATTTATTAGTGTTTCCCAGGCCTTCAATTCTACCACATTCATTAGGTGATTCTACAAATTATAGCACATCTACAGTGTGTGCTTGCTTTTCCTGGTGTTTTTGAAATCTTCTCTGTGAACTGTGAGGTTTAGGTCAAGAATGGATATATATATATATATATATATATATATATATACAAGCATGAGAAGAGCATTTGGATAAAAATAACAGGAGATGAAAAGAAGTGTTATTATTGTGGAAGTCTGCAGAGACTGGACAACCAGATAAAAAATTTGAGCAAGAACTTCCAAGACTAATCATAAAACACTATCCAAGGCCATATATTTGCAGTAATGTAGCAAAATTTAGCAAAAAATTCATTATGCCAAAAATAAAGACTTTGGAAAATTCTTGACTTTCTTTGAACATAAATTAATTTAAAAGGACTACTACTTCCCCCAAATTATTGACTAAAATTAGTCAACAATGTATATAAGAACCTCCCAAGAAAATGACTCTATCATCTAAGATTTCATAATAGTTAAAAGTGCTTATCTAAGTCAGACACATAACCAGACTTTAAACAAGGAGATGTTACAAAACTTCAGAAAATATAGATTTAACAGTATGGAAATTAGACAAAATAAAGGTAGTCCTAGGAGAATGAAAAGCTCTGAAAATGAAATTCTGACTACATGTCGCAATTAATCCCAATGAAAACCAGAAAGGCTCTTAAAAATAAAAACAACCAGCAGGCATTTAGGACACTAAATGGTCCCATTTTCAAAAAATGTACATCCAGGACCTCCACACTGGTGAGACTGACTGTAATTTAGGAGAGCATCTAAAAATGTATAGGAAAGCAATGATTGTATGAGCCATTTGGAGTTGTGGGCCACTGAAATGAGCATAATTTTTTTTAAATGAGATTTTTGGACTTACAAATTAAACATATAACCTGAAACATAATAATAAGCATCGTGATGTTAGCAAAGCCTCTTAATAAAAACTCATGATAAGGTAGAAAAATATGAACTGATTAATGGGTGTATTTGGATGACTGACTCAAAACAGTATTTCTGGCAGTACCGACTCTCAAAAACAGTATTGCTGTCAGGCTAGAAGGTGTCTGGCAGCCTAATAAAGTGCAAAGTACTAATGTAGGGGGGTCACAGAGAAGGCAGCATAGCACAGGGAAGATAAGTAGTGACTCTATAACATCTTACTGCACTGATGGACAGTGACTGCAATGAGGGCGGGGGTAACTTGATAATATGGTTGAATGTTGTAACCACAATGTTGCTCATGTGAAACCTTCATAAGATTGTATATCAATGATACCTTAATAAAAAAAAACAGTTTGACAGAGAAAAAAAATAATGTGCAAAGTACCTGTCCTGTTCAATGACAGATGGAGATAGAAAAGGCAAACTACTAGATTTGCAAATGTCACAAAGCTGGGAGGGATGGTTAAGAAAGTGTATAAAGGATTCAATATTCAAAACTATCTCCATAGATGAGTGATGAGTTTAGATGAAAAAGAATTACCTACACAATTACGGAATGAAGAGAAGAACCTTGGTCATAATTCATGTGGGAATTTCAATGTGAGACAACAGTGGGACATGACTGTCAAATGCTAATGAATGCATTAATAAAAGTATTGTGTATCAAGGAAAGGAGTTAATGGTTCCATGTGCTGTTCAGACAACATCTGGAATATTACCTTAAACAAAAGGGGAAGAGAGAATGATTGTAGATATTAAGTCAATGGAACCATCAATAGATCAACAAATTTGGTAAAGATCTAGCAAACCATCTCATGCATCATGAGCAACTGAAATTTTGGAAACTGATTCACGGCTTCCCATTGACTTTAATATTTTTATATCTAAGTCCTAGCTCACAGATGAACTGCAAGAGAGTGCCTTTCACCCCACTTTGGTTACAAATATCCATTTTCTAAGTTCTCATTTAATATATGCAGTTCTGATTAGGGATTTCACTAATATATAGTTTTATCATTAATCAATATTTTAATGTTTATATTTCAGTTCTCCAAGGAGCCTGTAACCTCTGAGGTATGGGAAATCACAGCAAAGTGAATTGTTGATTTCCCCAAGGAATGCACCTCTTTTCAAAAGCTGGACAATCAGTCATCTTGCTAGTCTTGCAAAGAGTTGCAGTGAGCTTTCTTGAAGCTGGGTTTATAACTTGGTGATGCAAATATGCCTAATAGCATAATACATTTCTTTTTTTCATTAATTCTTACTATTAGTAAGGGGTTTGGGTCAGGGCAAGTTTGTGTTAGTGTGGTAAGCAAGAATTTGTTTAATGTTTTATCATGCTCTGTTTTTATAAATGTGTTTTGCATGCATGAAATCTTGTCAAATTAAAAACTCCTCATGGTGGTTGCTGACAGTGCAGGTTGACATCAACCTAACAGAAAGAGTTCTTTGGTACCACATTTAGATACCTTCTATTCCCTTTACTGTAAATTCCTTTTTCTTCCTTACTGCTTCAGAGCAAACCAAAGGGTTTGTGCTGACATTACAGCACTCCCCAAGAACATTCCTCAAGAACAATGTTATACTGATGACAGGGGCTCAATTAATGCTTTAAGTGAATATTGTTCCTATAATATTTTTTGAAGAAATCATCCAAATAGAACATCTATCTAATAAGATATCTTAACACTTAAAGTCAGTCTATGGGAAATACAATCTACCTGTGGGTTACAGAAAGGAGAAGCTTTATCTTGTACAATATACAGGAAATTTTGGACAAAAACCCATTCAGACATAGTTAATTTGAGTATGCCTGAAAAACTGCTGCAGTATCATATCTTACTTTATATTCCTCTTTCCAATCTCTACTAGATTTTGGGAAACTAACAGAAAACAATATCAGTTAAATTCTGCTCTGGTCGAAAACAGAAATTCAGGCTTAAAATGGAAGGATCTGCCTACTTAAAGATGTGATGTAGTCCAAGTACTCCATATATCGTACCAAGTAATAATTGACCATTAGATCTGAAAGGGACCTTAAAGATTATCTAGCTCACTTACTTTGTTTTACATATTAGAAAAAAATGAAAATTTATCTATGATCCCAAAGCCAATGAGTTGCAGAGCTTGTTTCTTAGCCCAGTGGTCTTTTGATGTGCTTTGATTTGCATAAGGAAAAGGAGAAAGGAAAAAGAGAGCAAACATTTTGAGTCCTAGGAGGAATGAGATTTTCTCCACTGGTTACATTCTTTTCTCCCTATAGATTTAAATATGTTCTAAATCCCTGAACAGAAGGGTAACTGGATGCTTACTTTAAGGTTACTGTTTTGAAATTAGGGTCATTTAAGAGGCCCTAACACCTATGTAAGATTTTTAACTCAGTTGTGTATTTTGGGGACACCATCCATTCTTCCTTCCATCTAACTATTTGATGAGAAAAAATCTAGAAGCCTTAGAAACTACCTACTCTATTTTGTTTCACTGATCAAAAAACTGAGGCTCAGAAAAAAACAGCAAATTATATTTGATGATAACCTTGGGGAAAAATGACTATCCCTTCAGAGAGAGCTAGCAGTAGTGTAGTCAAAAAACAAAAAACCAATAACTCCTGAAGCAAAAACCAAGTATCCATCACAGGATAATAGAATTATGATTTTCTCTTTTCTACAAGAAATTTCACCACTATGCTGTACACCACATCAATTTACCAACAATGAATAAATTACAAAACAATCATATACTGTATGAATAGAAGGCTAACATAATAAAATGGTCCTCTCACAGCTCTAGGAAGCTCTGTGAATTGTGACATGCTAAATACCCAAATTTTGCAAACTTTTTCCTAAAAAGTTGTCATCCAAGGCTACTTTAGCGAAGCAAAAAATTATTTCTTTTTAAAAGTCAGTGATGCTTAAATAATACTGAAATGGAATAATTATTCCCCATTCTTGTCTTAAATGATAATCTTTGCTTACACACCTACCTAGGAGGCTGGGGAGGCTCCTTCCAGTCACTGGGTATGAGGTTATAAATGCTCTCAGAAGAGCACGTTGGATCCATGGCCACCAAATGACTCCTTAAAACTACTCAGCTGTTTTCTCACTATTCCAGTATCTCGTCCGTTTCCTCACTGCTCCTTTCCTTTCCTACTCTCTTGCTTTCTCAAGAAACTAACGTTTCTCTTTCACATAATTCCCCCTTGACCTCGTCTTAGCAGCCCTCTTGGGAAGAAAATGAAATACCCTTCTATTGTTCCTGAGATTGCTTAGCGTTGTTGTCAGGGCGGTTGCCGTGGAAACAGTTACTAGGCGACTGGAAGTGGAAAGCAGCACTGCAAACTAGGTGTCCTCTTTCCTCTCTGCAGCTTCTGTCTGAGGGGTTCAGTTTGGAAACCGCCGTTTATAAGTGCTCTTATAAGGGGGTGAAGAATGACGCCCCCTTAAAAATGTTCTTTTCTGTCTCTCTATCTCTAATGTGGAGAAAAGATAAACTCTGCTAGAGACAGTTGGGACGCGCACCTGGCGTGCAAGCGTCACATAATAAAGCTCTTGTGCGCAGGCGCCAATCCCGGTACAGGTAAACTGAGCGGCGAAAGACACGCTGACGAACGCCAACGTCGAGAGCGGGACAGTGGTGAGGAGGAGCCCAAGGAGCCAGGAGGGTTAGAGAGGGTGGGGCGCAGCGAGAGTCACGTGTCCGATGGGCGGTTGCTCAGAGTGGGCACGCCGCGCGCGCGTGCAGGGCGGCCCGGCGCAGGCGCGGAGGCGGCTGCAGGGGGCGGGGTCGGCCCTAAAACTCAGCTTCGGGCCTGGGTTGAGGGCGAGCTGGGGTGAGTGCCGGGGGTTCTGGGCTCCATCCCGAGGCGGCGCTGGCGGCTCCTGGAGTCTTCTTTTCGTTTCCTTTCCTTTCCCCCGTCTTCTCAGTGTGATTTTCTTGGTGAGTTATTTGAGGAGAAAGAAAGGGAAATTGTAGAAACCAACCCATGCCCATCGCATGCTTTACTGTCCCGTCGCTTTCCGTTACTCGGTTGTGATGGCGACCCTATGTGTGTCCTCGTTTTTCCTGCTGTTTTTGTCCTGGGATGCTCGTCCTTCTCCGCGCAGCCCTGTGGCAGAGCGCGCCCCCGCCCTCCCATCCACCTGTCGCGCGCAACCCTCCCCTCCGCCTTCCTGCTGCTGCGCCTCGCGGGTTCCTGTGCCCTCCGTCCTCTTTACCTCCTGATCCGGCCCCTCCTCTCAGGTAATTCTCCACAGACGTGTGGACTTTGTTTTTTAAACGAGCAGCCTAAGTCAGAAGGGGAAGCTTTTTAAATGGGCCCTTGAATTTTCATATTATTTAGTGTCCCTTTTTGAAAAGTGTCTTTTGTGACAAGCGGTTTCGTTCCGTTTGGAACCATTAGATCTTCTGTAAACCTATTTATGACTGCTGAAAGAAACTCATTTAGAAGGCTTTGCCATCCCAAGCCTCTAAAAGATATTTGGCAGTATGATTTAAGAAATAATATAGATGTTCTGAACCAGCCTGGCAGAGGCCACAGTGCCCAAGAGGAATAAAGATGTTGGAAGATAAGGGAGAACACTGGTTTTGGTCGTCTCACTGTCAGCGTGCTCGGTAGAGGGATTAAAACAGCACAGTGGCTTGGTTAACTTGGTTCCTACTTACAAGCTTTGCTGAATGTGTAGGGTTGCTTGGACTCTTAGTGAAGTTCATTATCTAAGAATAAATACAGTTTTTTCTTATGCAGTTGATCGGATTATTTTTATCCCAGGCATTTTACAAACATCTTATTTCGGTAAATGGCACCTTGAAGATGGTGCCCCAGTTGCTCCCGTCAGATTTTGTTTTTCAAAGTATTTTAAATGTATGTACCACTTTGCCCTTCTCCTCCTTTCCCTGTTGCTTTTGGAGTGTTTTTGTGGTTAGCTTTTGATTTCGGGGTTTTTTTTTTGCTTAACATATATAGAGAAAAATGTCTTCTCTATACAATGCAAAGATTTAGACTGAAGATGCAGAATGATTACATCATTACCAAAAGTATAGTCATTGGCCAAACTTACAAATTTTCTAATTAGAAGGAACATTTGGGGAATATTCATGCTAATCAGTTCCTAAAACAGCCAGAAAGAGTTCCCCTTGGTATTAACCACCCTTAAATAGTCTTGACTTTCTAGTGTTACTGCATACAGTAATTTCACTTATGTCACTATATTGTAATTTGAAAGATACTAAACAGAATTTAATATGTCATGAGTATATTTTAAGTTTACAATCATGATGAGGTTAAATCATGTGGAAAGGAGCTTTTTTTACTTCGATATTTGGCCCATAATTCTGCTTGCCTTTTGAAAGAATATTTACAAAGAATGTATTTCTAGTTTTATAATTCCCTCAAAATGGCAATACTGTTCAAGAAATGCCTATGTGCATGTATGTGCACTGGGTATTATTGTTGGTGTACCATCAGAGATAATGAACTTTTTCTGTAAAGGGCTAGATAATAAATATTTTAGGCCTTTGTAGGCCAGATGGTTTGTCAAAGCTACTCAACCCCAACATTGTAGCTCAGAGGCAGCCAAAGACATTATTTAACAAATGAACAAGCAGAGTTGTGTTCCTGTGAAACTTAATTTACAAAAAGGGTAGGGGGGTGTGGCCTGTGGGTTTTAGTTTGCACAGACCCTTGGTGTAAGTGGCTGTATGTACAAACTAGGTTGTTTTGCTGATGATTAATATACTTAGATGAGTAAAGTGGGTGTAGGTGGGAATATAAATAAGACAATTGGGAGGAAAATAAACCCTTCATAAAGACAGACACTGTTTACAATATTTTTCCAAGTTATAGAATTAAAAAGAGTACTCAGAAAGTCTTTTTGAATTAAATACTCAAGACCATTAAGAGGGTATCTAATAGCAAAAAACTTAATAGGAAAGGCTTACCGGTTTGATACTAAGATGAAGGCAAAGATGAGCAGTAAACTTGGAAAATTATGCTTTTGGTTGTAAGATTCCTATGATTAGAACATGGCCGTGGGGTGTGTGGTCCTATCCTCTCTGCCTTGTTACTTCCAGGCAGGTAGGACTTCCAGGGAGGTAGGAGCTGACTGACTGGAGGGCTTGTTGAGAGGATTTTTGATCAGTGGGTAGATGCTGCAGGTCTTTACCTCTCCGTGGTTAGTTTATAGCCTTTTATAGTCACATTATTTCTTATTACTTACTGGAAAACAATTTATGGCTGTAACAATGCAGTAATTTAAGCCTTTTAAACTTCAGTATCTTTCAGAGATGTAGTCTTCTGAGAAATTTACATAGAGATTGCATTAATACAGGATGACAAGCATAATCATGACATAAATGTTTTCAGAAGTTCATTTAACTCTAGCCTGGTCTCATGATAAAATAATTTTTGAAGTGGCATAAATATTTTCAGAAGTTCATTTAACTATAGCCAAGTCTCATGATGAAATAATTTTTAAGTGCTAATGTTTTATTTTGGAAGACTGTGTAACCACAGATATTTTAAATGGGTGACAAATGGTAAATCGTTTTGACTAAACAGGAGTTTGTTTCCCAGAGGAATTAGAAACTAGGAAATTTTATAATGGAATTGAAAAATTCTTATGGACCATTTTGGAAATAAAAATTGATTAATGGGTTGAGTATGATTTTGGTTGGTTATCAGTCACCTAGTGTAAACTTACGAAGACTACACTGTAAGTACACTGTTGAAAATTCATAGGTGTTTTTGGCTTACAAGTGTAACTTTTTTAGCATTCATGGGAAATAAAACAGGTTTAAAACATAATTTCTGTGCCTTTTTTCCCTTGAATTCTTCATACAGTTTTGATCAGCTTGCTATAGAAATGTTGTTAAATTTTGTGCCTTGAGGTCATTAAAAAACAAAATTCAGCCAAGTAAATTTGAAGATCTAAATGGCTTTATTAATGGATTCATGAATTGGGTCTCAGCCCCTGAAGCAAGTAGAGAGAGATGTTCCAAAAAATTGTATAACATGGGAGGTTTTTATAGACAAGAGGGTGGGGGAAACATTATTAGCAAAAGAAAGGAAAGAATTGTTTTAGGCAAGGTTATTTTCTCAGAGGGAAACTAGGGGGTCTTATAATGTAAATTACTTCATCTTATTTTAGGGAAGATGTAGAGGGCTCATGTAACAGATTATTTTATTGATGATTCTGACCAGCAAGTTCCTGACTGCATTTCTCGGGGAGGTTGAAACTATAATTGGGTTCAAGTTGTAGGCCCTGGTTCGGTGAGTTGGCCTAGCAGAAGTGACATCATGTTGGTCCTGTGTGTTTCTTTTTAACAAGGTCACATAGTATTTGAATTAATTGTACACGTGGACTTTCTGCTTTTGTTTTTTTAAAGTTCTTGCTGTGATACTAACATATTACTTTTCATTTATCTATTTGAATGACAAATGTCTTTTCTGTGTCGAAAGTATCTATTGGAGTTAGTGGGTCAAAATGCTCCACTATTAGTGATCATTAGGAAAACCTATTGTAAAATTATTAATATATAATGGAATTTTGTAGATCTTCCATCCTCTGAGGAGTTAGAGAGTATTAACTAAAATACTTTTGTGTAGGAACTTGGCTCTTGTGGGGAAAAAAATGGAACTTCCTGACCAGGATTCCTAGTTGGCCTTAATAGTGTCCATTGGGTATTTAATAAGCACCTATTTGCAAATTTATGGGATGTTACCCATGACAGAGCCACTGGTCAGTCAGGGGAGGGGTGGAGAGGAAACAGCCATTCTCTCCTCCCCTCAATTCCTGGTATGTAATTGGTCAGGTGTTCTGCCAGTAACCAGAGACTGCCCATAGAACTCCTCTGGGTGCAAGGTAGCCTGTCTTGGACAGCCTGGCAGGAGCTGCGGGGCCCTGATGGTCCTGGAGAGTTAGGCCCAAGAGTGGGGAGCAGAACCTGTAGCTAGCCTGGGGAGTGCATTCCAGCCAGCTGTGTGGTTTGTGCCCACTGTGGTAACCCCCTTTATCGCCAGCTTCCTGCCCTTGTCTTTTAGTTGGTGTTTGTGAATTCATGGAGAACTTGCCCCAGGCAGGAAACTGCCTTCTACCAGAGATACAGCTCTACAAAAAATACCTGAGAACATTAATGATGCAGTAAAAACTGAGTGCTTTGTGGCCAATACATTTGGTCTTTAAGTACTGTTTTTGATTTCTAACTCAGTGTGATTGACTTCCATTTAATTTAAAATAGTTTTGATGTTTGACCAAAGAAAAATGCCAGTTCATGCCACTGTCCTGAAAAACATATTAAAATATAAGTAAATGAAAAAAATCTAATGACTTGGCTTGAATCATAAAGGAAAACATGCAGTTGATCCTCACTTTTTACAGGTTCCACATTTTGAATTCTCACTAAAGTTTATTTATAATCCAAAATTAATACTTGCAGCACTTTTGTAGTCCTTCATGGACT